GGTTCAACTCGTCGAGACGAAAATGTTAAGGAACAGAAACTCACCAGCGTCTATCCAGATCGCTGGCTTAGCTTCGCCATCTTTATTCATTCCGGTTGAGATTTTTATCATGTTTATAGGTTGGCCTTCGTAACTGTGTCCTATAGTTATCACTTCAGCTATGCTTGGGTATCTGAGTGCCAAATATTCCAAATATCTGACAATCTCTGGAACAAATATCTCGAAATTACAATCAACCAGAGAAGTTTCACGAATTGTCGCCATATTCATCTAGTCTGTTTTTATTAATGGAACATATTTCGTGGAACTTTGTACGCATCTTTGAATAGTTACAAAGAGCCTTATCTCGAGTCGACATTGGAAACCAAGCGACGTTTAGGAAACAAAAAGAAAATGCGAATTTTATAGACTGCAAAAGATAGATTAGATATTCGTATAATTGTTGAATAAATTCGGTTTTTATCGTACCTCCGTATCGATGATACCGTTTCCAAGTCATACTGTGCCCGTTAGTTGTGACGAGGTCGTTGCGTTGCTCCTTCGTCATTTTTGGATTCTGATGCGCTATAGTTTTCTATCCGAAAAGAAAAATGAAGCAATTAAAGAGTAAATCGAACCAACTGATGACGATATTAAATATTAATATTAAATATTATATATTCTATCCGTGGTATCTCGTACCTGAAGATCCGGTATCAGTACTTTGAAATCGATTCCTTTATCTCTGAGGAATACTTTCAAGTCAGAGACAAGATCTGGTCCGACAACCACGTCTGTTGTTCTGAAAGGTTTTACCAATTTTGTCAATCAGTCGACCAAATTACGCTCAATGGACGTCAGCGCGAATAAAGGACACGAACCTGTTGTATATTGGTTCGGTCCAGAATTTAACGTCTTCAGGTTCAGATTCCTTGAGCTCTTTCAGATCGTTCACGTGTCCTTGCGAACTCGGATACAATCTGATCAGCTGGTGATTTTTGTAGCTAATCCTAGACGTTCGTGACTTGAAATTCTTCTCGGTGCCGATAATGCTAGTGACGATGGAACCGATCCCGCTGGCCACCGCAGAGAACATCGACTCGACGATATCCGTCAAAGAAAATCCTCTACTCTCGTTATCGATCGTGGACTCACTGTCAGTTTCGTTAAATGCAACAATCTCTTCGTACCTAAAAACAACGTCCGATCCATGTTAACTCGATCTTAGAATTCTTAGAACTCGGAAATAAGAATTGAGAAATGTCAATTATCCTGCAATTCACTCTCACGTTTTGAACGTATTTTATACACTTCCGTCTACTTTTGTATATTAATAAATTATCCACAAAGTTTAGCTTCTATCTCTCTAGTGATGTTTAAACACTATAGCGAATTTCTGGGTACTTGAAGAACATTCAAAATTCGCTGAGACGAAAATTTGGACGAAACGTCCATCGATTAAAATATCCTGCAATTCACTCTCACGTTCTGAACGTATTTTATACATCTCCGTCTATTTTTGTATATTAATAAATTATCCACAAAGTTTAGCTTCTATCTCTCTAGCGATGTTTAAACACTAAAGCGAATTTCTGGGTACTTGAAAAACATTCAAAATTCGCTGGGACGAAAATTTGGACGGAACGTCGATCGCCTAAAATTGCGTCGATAAAAATATGAAGCTGCATGATCGTCTACCTATTTACACTTCGAACTCGCTATAGGGGACAACGTCCTTTTAAGACGAACCTCGTTCCTCGATTTCCTTCGTCGAACGAGCCATCATCTCCTCCCGTGGACGAACAATTGCAATTGACTACGGTCAGGAATTCGAAATCGCCGCGCTGCGGTCGAGCCGCGATAATCGCTGATAAACCGACGAACACGATGCACAGGGTCGACTTGAAGTCGTCAGCCATGATCGGCCTGAATCAGGCCAGGATGTGCGATCGTCTCGGAGGCTTCTTGTTGACTGATCTCGCGGCTCGAGGTTGAAACCAGTTCTTCCGTCTTGCTCGTGAAAAACAACGATTTCATGGCTTACGGTCTTCTGTCTTACGGGATTTCTGTATGGTATTCAATACTCGACTTTCTCGTGGGAACTTCCAAGACCCGGCTTCGATAATGGATCGAAGGTCTTGAGGTCAGTCTGAGAAATGTGTCTATTGGCTCGTTCTTGACGTAGAGAGTATTTAATGGTCGGCGTATCTTATTTATTAGCGTTTAGAATTTTATTGCGCTGTCCACGCGTCGACTTTTCTTTCACCTTTCGGCTTTCTTACTGTATTCAGTCGAAGAACTCATTCTGAAGTATTCTATTTCTATTTTGGCACTTTTAGAAGAAGAAATGAAATGAACGATGAATTCATTGATGCTAGAAAAAGAATGAATGACGTGTTTGGAAGGAGTTCAATATCTTCGAAATTGAGAAATGTCAACTGTTCATGGATTTTTCTCGTCTTGGACCTTAATATTCAAATGACTCGGGTGTTTCGTTTCAATTCAGCGTTTATTTTAATTAATGTCTTGCAAATGTCACGAACTTTTCCAACTTGCTTGTACGTAAAGTATGAAATTCTCTTGTTTCCATAGTCCAGTTTTTAGACGGAGAAGAAATTATAGACAAAGAGAACAACTTTTGTTGCTTCAGAAGTTGCGACAGGGGAGTGTATCGCGGGCAAGAGGAGTCCGGTTCTTTGAAGAGACACTTCCTATCATTTCTTTTTTCTTTGCGACGTGTCTCATTCCTATTTCTAATCTGTTAACGGTAACGGAGAAGCGATTTCCTATTTACTATAGTTGTCCGCTCGCTGAATTTCATTCTGCTACAAACAAACGAAACAATCACGCGAGGAGAACAAAATTCATTGAGGAAATCATCAATTTCATTTTCTAGAAACTTTTCCTTTCGTTCATTTTGTGACGTAGCTTGATATTGCGTGTTCTTGAATCAATTAAAAAAAAAAAAAAAAAAAAAA